TTGAGTTTATAAATCTACTTTTTCAACTGTAAATTTTATGAAATCTAAATGCAGATTGAGTATTCCTGGTAAGTACTTAGTGTCTAAATTGAAATGGACCATAAGTGTAAAATACACACTGCATAGACTTAGTGTGAGAAAAATAATGTAAAATATTTCAAGAATTTTTACATTGATTATATGTGGAAATTATATTTTGGATATACTCAGTTACATAAAATATATTATTAAAATCAATTTCACCTGTTTTACTTAAAAAAAATTTTTTTTTAATGTTTACTTATTTTTGAGAGAGAGAAAGAGAGACAGAGTGTGAGCCGGGAGGGGCAGAGAGAGAGGGAGACACAGAATCCGAAGCAGGCTCCAGGCTCTGAGCTGTCAGCACACAGCCTGATGTGGGGCCTGAACTCACAAACTATGAGATCATGACCTGAGCCAAAGTCGGGCATCCAACCAACTGAGTCACCCAGGCACCCCTTCCTGTTTTACTTCTTAAACTGTGGTTACTAGAAAACTCAAAATTGCATGTGTGACTTACACCGTGTCTCTACTAGGCAGTGCTGGGCTCGACTACTGAAGTCTAAGATACTGAGATACTAAAGCTTGGACAGTGGGATGTGAAGGCTACTGCTTCATAAATTAGAGCATGGATGCTTTATACACTAGACGGTCATCTATGTTTTTTATAGGACAGGGCTATAAAACTTCAAGATGCTTTTGGGGAAAGGCCCTTTGCCTCCTACCTTCCAACAGAAGGTCCTCACAGAACTCCAAAGGAAGGCCCTTGTGTACTGTCTTCAGTCATACTTCCCAGACCCCCAGGACTCACTTGATCCTGAAAGTTCATGTTGGGCCCCGCTTCTTCCCTTTGTTCTTTCTGGGGCTGTGGCAGTGGAAGAAGCCAGAGCAGGCCAGGGAGGAAGCTTTGCAAGAGGCCATATCCCCCTCATTAAAATGAGGCAGGAACATGATTAGGACTTCCAAATCCTCAATTACAGGTTCACAGACCATCACAGCAGCAAGAAGCTGGTTGGCACGTCCAACTCCCTCTTTTGCAATGAGGAAATAGGTTCCTCATGGGCTTGGGTCAGACCCTGAAACTTGAAGTCCCAGTTTCCTAGTTTCCTGAGGCCTCTGCACCACCCTGCCCCCCACCCCCCACCCGCCACCATGTGTATCCTGTCTCTAGTAGCAGGCCTCGGGTTAGCAGCAGGTGTGGTAGAAAGGGGACCTGTGTGGTACCCTGCCTGTGGGCCCACTCTCTACCTGCTGTAGGGCACGAGGAAGGATCCCCCGGTGCTTGTAATTCTCAGTTGTCCCTGTCATGGTATATGTCTTGCCGGCTCCCGTCTGCCCATAACACATGATGGTACCTGCAAACATTTGGAAGCATGTCTTGGTGATGTCCAGGAAAATAGCTCCAAGGATAGCTCTCCTATCCCCCAGCATGCCTGGTGCCAGCCTGGACCCTGGCGCGAAGGTGGCCATCAGGAGCAGCCAGGACAGGAGGGATTCCTGCCTTGGGGGGCAGGGTGAGTGGGCAAGGAAACAGGACATAAATGGTCAAAACACAGACTGCAGCTCTGAATGTGTGGCCCAGGTAGTGTTCTACTGATCCCTCTGCCAAGAGATCAGACCCTAGGGCTGCTGAGCAGAGTGGGGAATCCCAGGGAACAGAGGAACTGGGAATTTTTCTAGACAGGTGGGGAGGAAGATAGAACATTGAACTCCAGCCCTTCTTTAGCAAGGCCATGAACTGTCAAGAGTCTCGGGGTAGGCCTCCCAGGGGCTGGCCAGGCAGGAGACAAGGAGAGCTTTCAAAATCCCCAGGAAGAGATGGGAGTGGGAAGAGAATTTCCTGTTGATGGTGAGGATTCTTTGTAGACTGCAAGTTCCCACAGGATCAAACAGGGCTACTAGTTGGCCCCAAGCCACTTCCAAACACAGACCATGACAGGTCCTGATCTGGTCCCACAGCCCTCTCTGGAAAGACTTCCACTTGCACCTCTCACATCTCTTAGGTCTACTGTCACCACCAGGCTCTGGGACACGAACCACACTGTCACCCTGGACTCTGGTTCCCATCCGCTCTTTCTCCTGGCTTGGCCAACCTGAGCCAGACCCCATCCCAAATGCCGCTTCCGGGCAACACTGGGCCATGGAAATCAGCATTTGCCGTCACCACACCAATGCTCTAGTTCCTGGGATTGGTAGGTTTTGCACACGGGGCTCAAACTCAGCATGTGAGCTGAGGTCAGAAACAGTGCCTACTAGCACAGATGTGCAGGAAGGAGTCACTTCAGCTGGGACTCAGAGCCCACTTGTAATTCTATAGCAGCCAGGGCCCAAGACTCTTAACTTCCTTGGCCTTCTTGGTTCCTCTGTCTCTACCTCCTCAGGGCCATATCCCCTCAGGATTAATAAGGACCACATCTATGTTTCACAAGTGGGATACATTACAATGTTTAGTTATCAACACTAAACAGACTTTAAAAGAGACTTTTAAACAGAAGACCTAAAACTTGCAGACAGGGGACATTCTAGTCACATGGGTAAAGTTTACAAACTGTGATAGATTCTTTCTACAGATTTTCAAATCTTAAGATTTTAAAGCAATCTTAGACCAAACTAGTTTATAAAAATCTCCCAATAAAGTTGCTTTCCATTTGTTAAGAAAATCAAACTCTACTCCATTTTTTCATGCTATATGTAAATAACTCTATGCTAAAATAGGAAGAGTAGATTTATTTTGCTGGTAAAATGAATGGAAATAACTCCTGGCAGGTAGTCAAGAGAGAAGTATTTGGACTCCATCAAATTCATAAGGCCATTATCTTCAAACTAGTATTTGAGAGATTTGAAACAGGATAATAGTTCAATCCCCATGACCTATAGAGAGCCACAGTCACTTAGTCTTCCCAGGAAAATAGGACCCCAGGAGTTTGGATCAAGTCATGCCCACAATACCACCAAGCAAATAATAAGTTTTCTACTATAAGAATATGAGATAGACACATAAACAAAACTTAGCACAAGAGGTTATATTTTATTTTATTCACCATAAAATACTTGCACCTCTTCCTCCAGGAAGGGTTCTGCAGGTTCTTACAGTCAATTAATAACAGTCAATTAACTAAATTACCATTGTATCCGTCAAGAGCCTGAGCAACCACGTCCTTTGCGACCGTCTCATAAACCAAGTCCTGGGAGGCATTGTGGAGAACTCCATCCAGCTTGAACGACCAGTCTGTCTGCTGGTTATTGACAACCCCTCTCCGAGTATCTTTTTTTAAGTGAATATCAATGCTCTAGAAAAAGAGGGAGGGAGAGAGAGAGAGAGAGTTAGCCAGCTAGTTAGGTACTAGGAAACTGGTATGAAAAACTCACTGATAGCTGAGGCCTGACCTGGAGAAAATAAAAGGAAGCAAACTTTAGGAAGAACAGGGATTCTCACACATGGGCTGATATTCAGATGATTTCTTTGGGATGGGAGAGGAGAAGGGAGGCCACACCACCTTTACGGTGGAAGGATCAGGAGACTGGAGCACTTACTGGTTTCAGGCCTTGTCACCCTAGGTTACAGGGTGCTGTTTGTCTTGATTCCCGCATCTATGATACGAGGTCAAGCACATTTATCATGTTTTTTATTAAACAAGCTTTAGACACATTTAATAAGCACAGGGAGGCCTTGACTTAGGCCAGAGAGAAGACTGGGCTTGGTGACAGAGGCCTGGGCTTGAGCCACATCTTTTACATGCTACGGAGCATTGTGAGGAATGATGAATTAATAACCACAGAAATGGCTCTTGGCTTCTCAGACAGTTCCTCACTGGTATTATAGCAAATCAAGGGTGTCTACCACTTGTAATTAGCATATCTTCAGGTGCAAAGATTTCTTTTTTTTTTTTTTTTTTTTTTTTTTTTAAGATGCAAAGATTCCTAAAAACATTTTTAGACTTTTAGATCTCTCCATAGCAAGCCACTAAGGCAACAGCTGGTTTAGGAACATATTGGGTTAGGTCAAGGGGAGATTCCAATCTTCACCGTGGGGCCTTCTGATGTAAAGAGACTCTTGTTGGAATTTTACACTGGCTGCCCTAATCCAGGAGCCAACACACAGCCACATGCAAAACAAGTAAGATCAAGCAAGAGGAGGGGCTTTGTCCATTCACACATGAAATGCTCTGTGTTTCTGTGCTCACTGAGACCATGTCCTGCAGGATTTGCTGCACATGAGCTTCTCTCTGACTGTCAAGACTTTCAAAGCTTGGGCAGTTTGCACTCGGATTCTTCCCTTAAAGAATGTCTTCATGCTGCCCATGTAGGTTCACAGATGTTTGCTCAATGAAAACACAGAACTCTCTCAACCTGTCCTAAGCCTGTCATGGGCTTCAGAAAGGTTGTCAGGACAGTGGTCGGGACACAGGGATGGATACATCTTTCCAGTTCTTTCGAAAAGCGTTTCTCCCACTGGTTTGGTAAGTTAAACAGTTATCAACTTAAGACATCTTACTTGACCCCCTCCCTGAGGGATCACGTAACAGCAGATCTGATCCCCACAGAGTTTTATGAGTGTGGCCAAATGTCAGCTTTTCTGTGTCAGACACAAGGATGAAGGCAAACTTATTAACCACAAATACAATTAAAAGTGGGAGCTTCGGGGCACCTGGGTGGCTCAGTCGGTCAAGTGCCTGACTTCGGCTCAGGTCACGATCTCACGGTTCGTGAGTTCGAGCCTCACGTCGGGCTCTGTGCTGACAGCTCGGAGCCTGGAGCCTGCTTCGGATTCTGTGTCTCCCTCTCTCTCTGCTCCTCCCCTGCTCACGTTCTGTCTCAATCTCTCTCTCAAAAAAAAAATAAACATTAAAAAAAATTAAAACAAAAACAAGTGGGAGCTTCGGGAGTTTCCTTATCAAAAGTGACTCAAGGGGAGTGGTTTGGACTTGTTGGAAGTCTGGACTCCATCTGAACTTTTATCAATTCTGTCTTGGTCCTTAAAGGCTGTTTGGAAACAGGGTCCCACCGCAGCAAGGTGGGACAGAGAGGACCAAGCTGGTGAAAGCAAGCACATCCCACTTACTTTGTTGTCATCTCCGTATTTGATCATTTCGTGAGCAAAGTCATCGGTGGGTTTGACACGGACAAAGGTATGAACTTTTTTCCTAGTACCCATTCTAGCTAAAAAGAAGAAAACAGTGCAGCTTTCAGTAGTTATCATCAAGTGGCAACGCAGTAAGAAGATCAGAATGGAGTGACTGACACTCGGTCTGTGTTCTCCTGTCCCAAAGAGACCCAGTCTTCCTTCTCACCCCTTCGAGTGTCAGTGCTCTACCCACAGGACCTGCTGTTCAACAAGTACAGGCGCTTCCTACTTTACAGGCTGCCTCACCATTTTCCACCATGGCCCCCTAAGAGACAGAAACACGAAGCAAGAAGAACGCTCCCTTTAGTGGCCTAATCTTAGACGTGTTTCCTAAAAATGGTCTGTACCTAAAAATGTCCGCTTATGCTTTGCCTCATTCATTATGCTTTCATCTAAAATACTGACTATGAAATGCATTTAAACTTAATTTTCTTGTCTTCACGAACATATGTTATTTCAGACGCAGCAGCCCCTCCTTTACCTCCGTTTGACCAGCTTAGATCTGAAAATGATTCCCTAGAAGTGTATTTAATCTAGTCCACGATCAGATACTCTTTCTTTTCTGACAGTCCATTGAAAAAAAATCAAACAGCCCTCTACCTCCTCGTCTTCTCGTCAACCTAACTAGAGTTTCATCATTTTCTTTCAGGTAGATCCACTTAATCTGTATTCCTTTATTTATACTACCACAAATAATTACCGTGTATAACAAAATGTCAAAATAAATGCTTGGTGTGGCTTCATGGAATAGGATGTAAGCATGGAGATGTATGTGTTTAGGGAGGGAGATTTAGGTAAATGACCTTCCTACTATGTAGAGCTGTCCTATAATGGAAAAGACTCAAGCAAGGTCAAGATGCCAGCTAGCAGAGATGCTACCAAAGGGACCGTTGCACTGAGGGGAGAGTTAATTAATTTCTAAGATCCTGTCCAACTGAAGTATTTTATTAAAATTTAAAAAAATTGATTGCACAATCAAATGATAACCAAGAAATCTCGTATTTTATTGGCTATTAGTCTCATTGGTGAAATCACACTAGGCCCTTTCCTGAGAGTGCCTGTGCAAAAATATTTAATACTAATCAGACAGTAAATTTTGGTTCCAACATTGACATAGAGTGGAAAAGCAAAGAGGGTTATTAAACAGAAGTAACAATTGTGCTATTTTTATTGCTTTAAAGGGGAACTTAAAACTTAGTTCTTCAAAAAATAAAAATAAAAAACAAAACTTAGTTCTTTAGGTGCCTCTTATACCCTGATGACAAAGGATTAAATACTGAGAGAAAATGTCAAAAGCTCTAAGGAAAGCTAAGGAAAAATCAACCTGTAATCATCATCAATACATTTAACCTAGTTAAGTAATACCACTAAACAAGATGAAAGTCTATGAAAATATACTAAACTTTGTTATTTGAAACTATTAGGGAAATTAACATAATACAATTTTAATTTGTTCAAAGGGGAAACATTTCTAATTTTACATATACGTTTTCCTAATATCAACCTAATATTTTTTGTTTCCTTCTTTTTCAAATTTTTTTTTCAACGTTTTTATTTATTTTTGGGACAGAGAGAGACAGAGCATGAATGGGGGAGGGGCAGAGAGAGAGGGAGACACAGAATCGGAAACAGGCTCCAGGCTCCGAGCCATCAGCCCAGAGCCTGACGCGGGGCTCGAACTCATGGACCGCGAGATCGTGACCTGGCTGAAGTCGGACGCTTAACCGACTGCGCCACCCAGGCGCCCCTCTTTCCTTCTTTTTCAAATGATGTGAACAGTATCATCAAGTGGTCTATGGTCATGCAGTCCGAACATTGGGCTCTCACATTTCAATAATTTCACTTTTACGGAACTATGAATATACAGAAAGAATGTTAAAAACTCATTTAGCGTTAATGTTCCAAATGTACCAAACACATTTGGAATAGGGACAAGGCCTGAGGGTCAGGATGTATGCTGCTTGGTACACTTCTCTTCTGACCTTCCTATTGGGGTTGAACCAGTTCAATAAGAGATGAGGCATTTGGTGCTAAAATAACTTGCATCTTCATAGGGTAGGAAAGAGGAGTTAAGGCCAAAGAAATCACCTGTATGCTTTTGTAAACAACAACAACAACAACAACAACAACAACCAGCAAAGGAATTTGTTGAATTTAGGAAGAGTTAGGGAAACATGAGACATAGGGAGCTGATTCAATTTCATATTCAAATTGGAAAAGAGCAATAACACAGCTATTAAGGAAAAATAGCTTGCTTGAACTACTGCAAAGCACTCTAATAAACTGCTATGATGCTTAATATTTTTAAAAAACGAAATGTTAAGACTTGTACTGTAAAGAAAAAAATCATGCATGACAGGGATTTCTTCTCTGAAATACAGTTAATTATTTCACTTTTTAAAAAAAAAGCACTTTAAGGGGCATCTGGGTGGCTCAGTCAGTTAAGCGGCCAACTTCAGCTCAGGTCATCATCTCATGGTTCGTGGGTTTGAGCCCCGCATCGGGCTCTGAGCTGACAGCTGGAGCCTGGAGCTTGCATTGGATTCTCTGTCTCCCTCTCTCTCTCCCCGTCCCCTGCTCATGCTCTGTCTCTCATTCTCTCAATAAATAAATATTAAAAAAAAAATTAAAGCACATTAAATAAAGAATATTAACATTTTCCCTATATTATCTAAGATAGGCTCACTGAATGTTACCTGATAGATTTTGAGGATATTAAACATATTTCTAGACACAACTTGCAATGACCGGTAGATTTCCTATTACAATTATATTAACTATCATCAGTGGCGTGAAATATCTCTGTAGAAGTAAATTAAATAGAGACAGGTCCTGCCCTTTCAGTCTACAGTTTCAATGATGTAGACAAACGAAACTCTAACCCCTGTTACAAGCCCTTCAGATGTAAAATCAAATAAGCAAACATGACACTTTCACATCTGCCAACTGTAGAACCGTGTGTCCGCTTGCTACATTCCTCAAGTAATTAGTTCATGGAAGTCTTTTCCCAGCCACTATGGGACCATTCAGACCTTTCAATTTTTAGAAAACGAAGCTGAAAAGTATTCAGGTGATCAAGGATGATGGCTTATCCAATTTCAGTCCTAAAATTTTTGTCTACAACATTGAGGTCGAGCTATAAAGAGCCACAAATAGCTTGAAGGTCAATAGCTCTGGGTCTGAGGACCCAGCCTCCTGGCCAGGGTGCCCTCTGAAAGGAACCAACCTAGGTGGCAGGTGCCCAGGCCTCCCTCCTGGAAGCCTCCACCCACCAAGCACAGGAACAGCACGGACAACCTGAGCATCGCCCTCCCCTCAGAGTGGGGCCTGTAATTTGCCAACATGCACATGCACATGCAGCTCCCCTATCCTCCCCAGACCCTCCCCATGCTCACATCCATAGCTTCAAGAATGCCAGGAGTCATACCCACCTAAGACAAGCTTTCTCTATTTTGAGATTTTTTTTTTTTTAATTTTAAAGTACTCTCTGTACCCAATGTGGGGCTCGAACTCACAACCCCAAGATCAAGAGCTGCATGCTCTACCCACTGAGCCAGCCAGGCGCTCTGCAAGCTTTTTCTATTAACTTAACTCCTCCTATAAGGCTCCTACTCAGCAGCCCCTCAACACCCAGACATTCAGAGACCCCGTGCCATCTTGCACTTACTGAAATAACGCTTGTTACCATTCTTACGCCGCATCATTTGAGTGGGTTTCCGCTCCCAAATTAAATTACAAGTTGCTTGTGGGACAGAACTGTGCTTTCTCTCTTTTGAATCCCCCCTCAATGTCCAGAACAGTGCCCAGCACAGAACAGGTACTCAAGAAATGGTGGTTGGTAGTGATGGTCATGGCTGGAAGTCAGAGGGTGGCTGGCTGAATCTCCACAGGTGGGTCCATCTTCGGTCACTACTGAGAGAGTCCCAAGGGGCATATGTCACTTTCCTCCCACATCACATCCAACCCCTGAGCCCACAGCCCTTCCAGAAGGGCTTAGCTTCCAGGCACCACTTACAACAAGCCATATTCAGCCCCTCACCATGCCCTCTCTTTTAGCAGGGGTTTCCTCCCTCAGGATCTTATGGGGAATGCTTCTCTCTCATGGGCACCACCCTTAGATATTTCTGGTGTAAATAAATGAATCTCGGAGTGGCCACCAGCAGATCTCCCTGAAGGTTCGTGGTTTCCTTATTCGTTTTAGTGGTGGGAATGAACAGAATTTGCTACCAAGCGTTTCTGAAAGCCGGATTAAAGAAGAGGAAGCGTCGGCACCAGGTGAATCCCTACCTTCCAGCGCTCCTGCCCAGACCAGACGCTCTCATATGGAACCCTCATCGTTTTAAAGCGGCGGCAGCACCTGAACCCCGAAACAACAGGGTCCAAACGCACCCGGCCCTAGGCTAAACCAAAGACTCGATTCCCGACAGACCTGGTCTTCTCCCTTTTCCTCACCCAACATACCGGACCCCTGTGTGGAGTGTGGGAGGCAGTGGAACTTGGGACCATTCTTGTCCCTCTTTGGAGCGGCTTCCTCATCCATAAAGCGAAGGGCTCTACCTAGCGATCCCGAAGCCCCCTCCAGTTCGAAAACTGCCGTGTATGAAAGGGTCCAGCAGACCTCTGGTCCCCCACCTCACGCCCTCTCAACCTCGGCAGAGACGCAGAGGTCTCGTGGGGCCAGGGAACGTTAGATCCGAAGACCCTAAACTGCACCCAGCCTGAAAGAGCCCCCACGATGCCGCGCCCTCTCCTCCGCTCGGGTTTCACAAATCAGCGAGCCAAGCTGGGGGACTCCCGGGTAGGGCGGTGTTCGGATCCCAGCCGCTGCCCACCGCCTGGGCGTATACCCCCTCTCGGGCCACCCTTCTCCCCATCCGTGCGGCGCGTGGTCGCTGCTCACCGCTCCCGAGGCAGAGGCCCTCCCGCCGCGCGACCGCTGCAGGAGCAGCGACCGCAGCCCTGCATTCGCGGCTGCAGAACTGTGTACATAGCCGCCATGGCAACGGACCGTTTCCGCAGATTCCGGAAGTGTCGGGTAGTGGCGGAAGTGAAGTCCGCGGCCCTGGGTGGAGACACGAGTAAGGTCAGGGCCGGATCGGAAAGGCGGGAGATGGGACCGGTTAATCCAGAAAGACTGCGGCAACGGCAGGCGCGACAGCACGGTCGGGAAAGCGAGGGAAAGAAGGCTGCGCTCGCACCAGGAAGCGGGGCAGCGGCGCTTCCGGCGCAGAGCAGCCGAGACTACGGCGGCCGTGCAGGTCCGTCTGCTTCTAGCAGTGTGCTCGCGGCGGCAGTCTGCCCCGCCCCGTTTGGTTTCTAGCCGGCCGCCCAGGCCTGCGCAGTCGCGGCGGCCGGGGAAGATGGTGGAGGACGGCGCGGAGGAGCTGGAGGACCTGGTGCACTTCTCCGTGTCCGAGTTGCCTAGTCGCGGCTACGGCGTCATGGAGGAGATCCGGCGGCAAGGCAAGCTGTGCGACGTGACGCTCAAGGTACCGAGGGCTGGGCAGCGCGAGGCTGAGGGATAAGGAACCGAGTGGGGAGGAAAGAAGGGCGGGGGGTAGGGGAAGAGAGGTCTAGCGGGCAGAGCGGTGGGGCAAGGAGGTTGGAGACCGAGTAGGGGAGAGAGAGGTGCCGAGTGGGAGAGGGGATTGGGGCTGAGTGGGGAGACGGACAGGAACAGCCTCTTAGCCCTTGGAAGGAAAGGCTGAGAGGTGCGCGACTGAGGCCCTCGGCGTGGGAGACATTGGGGTGCCGCCTCCCTTTTCTGTCAGACAGGAGAAAATGGACTTGCAGCCCCTCTTTGGAGGAGGGGGCGGTGGCCGCCTCCACATTCTGATGGGCACCAGTGAAGCACCTTCTCTTGTCACCATAGACATTTCTTTGTGCCCCTCGAAGTTAGCTGTGCTGTTGTAGAGCCGCAGGCTACACCTTAGGAGTCATTGCTTGCCCTTGGTCGTTAGATTACTA